TTTCTTTACATTACTGAAATGACAAAAATTTTCATAGTTTTGGTTGAAAGACTATTTCTGTTAAGAATTTTACAATATCCTAAATATTAACTATTACAAGGTTTAAATATGTAATCTACACTATAAGATAGTTGTGCGTTTGAATTGAAGCTGAATACAATGAAATATATATAATCAGTGTAAATCTTAACACTCCAGAATGTAAAACAGAGGAAGTAACTAATGCAATATTTATGGTTAGGTTTTTTTCTTTATATGCTTAAACATCAGAGGACAAGGCTTGCTCTGACTTCCTTAAATATAAGGAGCAACTGATTTCTTTCTTTCTTTCTTTTTTAATTAAAGCACTGAAGAGCTGACAGGCAAAAATCTAAGAAATCAAAAACCCAGAGAAACTACCCAGTGGGTAGTTTTGTTTCATACGCCATTGAAACTCAGCTGTAGTTTAGGTGACATTAATGTGAGGGAGAGAAAAGTCAAAGTTGTGAGTCCTCCTGGAGGCGAATGTAATAGGTACGACCTCAGAACCATCCACATAGTAAGTAAGAATTAGAGAGAAATCTTCTGCTCATGGAGGAAGGGAAGAAAAAGAAGAACAGGAAAACAGGAAAAGAATAGAAAAGTGAGAGAAGGGACCGAGTGGGGTGGAGAAAGGCGAGCAGGTTCTCATGCAGATTTGCAGGCAAAATTTATATCTCCAGGATGTTGAAAACAACTCAGGAAGTGACTTGCAAGTAGTTCTAGTCTGGTGGTGGTCCAGGCACTTGGCAGAGGCAGTGGCAATCATGTCTGCAGGAAGACAGTCTTATTTTTCTTAGATCAGGAGACACCCACAGGTAACTATTTAAAGGCCATGGTTAACCCAAGTCAAAGTTATCCTAGCATACAAGGGAACAATGTATTCATCCTGAGCCCCAGCAGAAGCACTAGGCAGTAGAGACTGGCCCCCAATATTTTCACATATTCTAAAAATCAAGTAAAGCAAGTTGGCTTGCTATGCTTAAAGAAAAAGAGACAAGCTTTAAAATAACTGTCCAGGCTGGGCACAGTGGCTCATGCACTTTGGGAGGTCAAGTTGGGAGGATCGCTTGAGCTCAGGTGTTCGAGATCAGCCTAGGCCACAGAGTGAGATCCTGTCTCTACAAAAACTCCAAAAATGAGCTCGGCATGGTGGCGTGCCTGCAGCCCCAGCTCCTTGGGAGGCTAAAGCGAAAGGATCACCTGAGTCCAGGAGGTCAAGGCTGCAGGGAGCCTTGATCGTGCCACTGCCACTGCAACGGAGTAAGACTGTCTCAAAACAAAACAAAACTGTTCAGTATAACATAACACACATGCATATTCTTTAATTTGTATCGAGCTATAACAGAATACTGAAAAGTTTGAAAAATTTTAACTTTCACAGTTCAGTGAAATACATGTGTGTGCGTGTGTGTGTGTGTGTGTGTGTGTGTGTGTGTGTGTGTGTTTGTGTGTGCGTGCCATGTAACCACTACCCAGATAAAGATATAAAGCAAGCTTTTTCTGCAAAAGAACAGATAGTAAAAATTATGGGCCAGCTGATGCATAAATGAATGGATGCTGACCGTGTTCCAGTAAAACTTTTTTTAGGAAAACAGGCGGCCAGGCTTGGTGGCTCAGCCTGCAGTCCCAGCACTGTGGGAGGCTGAGGCGAGTGGATTGCCTGAACCCGCAGGTTCAAGACCAGCCCTGGCAACTTGGCAAGACCTCGTTTCTACAACAAATCAAAAATTACCTGGGCGTGGTAATGCGCACCGGTAGTTCCGGCTACTTGAAAGGCTGAGGTGGAAGGACTGCTGGCAACCAGCAGGTCTACACTGGAATGGCCATGAGTGTCACTGCACTCCATCCTGGGCAACAGAGTGAGACTCCAACTCAAATAAATAAATAAATAAATAAAAATAAAAAAATAAAATAACTCATCTCTGAATTACTTATAATCCATAATACAATGCCTACACATCACTTCATTTGCATGGATTCCACATGGTGCTCAGTGTGAGGCAAATTCAAGTTTTGCTTTTTGAAACTCCATGGATGCTTTCCCCCCAAGTATTTCTGATCCACAGTTGGCTGAATCCACAAATGCGGAACCCATGGATGTGAACAGCCAACTGTAATTGTTCTTTTACCTTCCTTTAATTCTTCAGACACGATTTCCTTTATTTCTTGATAGACATGTTTATATGTACAGCCGGTGTTTGGTCTGAGGTTCTGCTTAAGCACTTAGAGCTGAAAAGACTATTGGATCTTTGTATGACTGGGAGAACCCTTTCAATCTCACATCCTGCTCTGATTACTCCCATGTGGGTAGAGCCCAATCCATGCACAGTCTTCTGGACCCTTCAGGGATAAATGAGATTCCGGCTGGTCTACCATTTTGCTTTTAGCTAATCACTGAGCTATCAGCCCCTCTTAATTATTCACAACCATGATTTCTGTTGTTTTTAACAATCCGCTTAGGCACAGATTTCTCCATCCTGCGTACCAAGTATCAGCCCCCCCAGGCAGAGCTGCCTCTCCTGCTGGGGGCTAGACGGTAGCCTGCTTCTCCTGGAGTGACACCCCTAATCTGTGAATGGGTCGGTGGCCCCTGGTATTCCTGGGTTGCCCCTCCCAATATGAAACCGTCACACTATGAGCAGGCTGAGGGAGGGGGAATTGAAGCCCCAGGACTCTCTGCCTGTCACACCTGGGGTGGACCCCTAAACTGGGCGGGGGTGGGGGCGAGGGATCCCTTACTTTTCTGACTGCACCTGCCCAGAAGGGCTTATCAGCTTATCACAGGAAGCTGGGGAGTGATAGAGGCTCAGATGCTACAGACTCACTGTTCTTGCTGAGAGGTAGTAGAGGTCCCTGTTTATTTGTTGAACGCCTTTTGGAAAGTTTTCAGAGGCTCTGATTTCGGTTTATGTGTACGTTATTTTCTTCAGTAGGAAGAGGGTCATCTGAGCTCTGTATACCGCCATTCCTAGTCTCGTCAGTCAGTGCTTTTAGCCTTGGCTGAGCTAGCTTTGGAGTTTGGCCTAAGTATATTCAATTTGTCAGCCAGAAATGTGTAGCGACTTCATATAAAGACCTTGGGGCTCTCCTTTCCAGATCTTTCTCCTTCACTTTCCAGAGACTGTTCATCCCAGACTCTAGCCTTTTGTTATTCAAGCCCAAAAGACTGCAGGTTTCCTAACATTTTTTAGTTGTCCTGCTGAGGCTGCCCTTGGATAAAAGGCCAAAACAGGAAAATCCCTCAGTGCCATTTTCATCTTCTAAGCGTCCACCCCCCTCCAGTGTCTGCCTACGTCAAATCATGCTCCATTATTCTCGATTTTTTTTTTGAAGTTGGAGTCTCATTCTGTCACCCAGGTTGGAGTGCAGTGGCACACTCACAGCCACCATTGCCTCAACCTGCTGGGCTCAGGCGATCCTTCTGCCTCCGCCTTCCAAGTAGCTGGAACTACAGGCACGCATTACCATGCCCAGCTTGTTTTTTTGATTTATTGTAGAGACGAGGTCTCACCAAGTTGTCCAGGCTGGTCTCGAACCCGTGCTCTCAGGCAATACTCTCACCTCAGCCTCCCAAAGTGCTGGGATTACAGTCTTGAGCCGCCGCACCCAGCCTTATTTTCAAATTTCTAAACAAGTATTTTGTCCAGAACGATTGTCATTTGAGGGCAGATTAGTCCCATAGGAGATACTTAATTGGAAGCAGAACTCTTATTAACTTTATGTTGGGTAATTTAAGATTGAGAAAGTCTGCTGTATCTGTGGTTTTAATGAGGAACAGGTAAGATGTTTTAAAATCAAATCTGCTTTGGGAGGCCGAGGTGAGGGAATTGCTTGAGCCCACAGGTTCGAGAACAGCCTGGACAACTTGCCAAGACCTCATCTCTATAACAAACCAAAAAAGGTAGCCCATGCCTGCAGCTCCAGCTACTTGGAAGGCTGAGGTGGAAGGATCACCAGAGCCCAGCAGGTCGACGCTGGGGTGGCCATGAGCATGCTGCTGTACTCCAGCCTGGGTAACAGAGTGAGATGCCAACTCAAAAAAAATAAAATCTGGAGTGTTTTTACCTTTATAATATGACACAGAAAATGGCAAAACGAGTAACAAGAATGAAATTATTCTTTTTAAGCAAACCCTGGAGTCAACTATAAACCCAGACCATCTCAGACATTATCAAACCTTCTAACAGTTACTTTCACCCAGACTTGATGCTCACTGAATTACTCTGTTGCACAGCATGTCGTTTTATCATATTGTATTGTCTTCAAAAACAAAGGACCAAAGGTCACTAAGGCGCCCATTTGGAAGAGACCTGTGCAGTGCTCTTTCCCTTAATGGGCCCAGTGCTTCCCAACTGCTCACCATGCTATTCAAGATTGTCTGTTTTGCAGACCAACTAGGAGCTCAGGGTATTAGTTTTACAGCAGTGACCCTCTCTCTCTTTCTCTCTCGTCTTATCTTTTCAGAAACACTGAAGGCTCCCGTGTGCCCTCAGTTGTCAGAGTGTTGAGAACAGAGATGGGCACGATGCCCGTGGCATCACACTGCTCGTGTCCTCGTGCAGTCCCCCGCTGTGTGGAAGAGCAGGCGGGTCATGTAATATGTGGATCCACGGCACTGGGACGGAGCGGAGACGCTCTGCCATGGAAAGGGACCCAGATGTTGCGAACATGGCTTCGCTGTCGTCAGCCTCACGTCCTGTGGTGCATATTCTGGAGCAGGTGTTACGGCCTCCGATGCAGCCCATTCCAAGGGAGAGGGAGTGGGGGCAAGGGGGAAAGAAAAGGCAGCAATGCAGAGGTGCCCGGGGCTCACCGAGGGGCCCTTGAAGTCCATGGTGTGTTGCCGTTTCTGTCAGCGCTGCCCGACTGCCAGAACCTTCCCTTCATACGGTGATCACTGGATCACGCCACAGAGTGCTGCTTGAACTCAGAACTGCAATGTCTGATCATTATTTCACACACGGTGCCTGCTGGCGAAAGACTGTGTTGTGAATAACTTTATTGTGAGCCACATACTTCTGCTTTAGGCTTGACATGACAAAGTTACAGCTGTAAATACCAACTCTTCATTAGCATATATAGTTTGGAAAACTCTCAAGTTCGTGACAGTGTTAATTGCACTTAAACATTAAATATGCAGTGAGAGAAAGATACATTGATAAAGAATATCATTCAAAAGGATTTGACACTTGGACGCGCCTTACTTGGTGACAGAAATTCCAGACCATCTTTCCGCCAGGGTTTACACAGGGTTTTCTCCTTCCCTGGGACTGACTAGTACACAGGATGAAAGAGCTTAAGCAAACGTGAGTATCACTGAGAGGTACCAGAGGACAGTCCCGACGTGGCTGGTGGAAACCAGAACACAGTACTGCCCGGCTGAGAAAGAAAACACCTACATCTGCGCGTGAGACGCAAGCCGAGCTTCTGTGTGCGGACTTCAGATGTCCTTCCCACAGTCGGGGCACAGGATGTCGTCCCTCTCCGTGAGGAAGCCTCGCCCCACCAGCGACAGCGAGCACTTCTTACAGTTGAAGCAGTTGTTGTGCCACTGCCGCTCCTCAAAGGAGATGTACTTTGTGCCACCAAGTCCTGTCAGCAAAGAGAAAACAATCCCAGATGAAGAGCGAGTTAGAATCGGGCATCTGGCACCCAGAGTTCCGGTTAGACCCACTTCCAAATTTCAACTGTATAACCTGGGTAGGGTGGGTTTCTTGCCACCTGGCGCTGGGAATCCATCTGTGAATCAGATACTGAGCTCGCAAATAGCAGAAGAGGCACATCAACTGGTTCCAAAACAGTGAGACTCGTGCTATAAAAGGTGCCAGTTCTGTTGTATGTGTGTGTGTTCCCACAAAAAAACTGCAGAACAGGGCTGATGCCCTCACTGGGTGCCTCAACGTGTTGCTTGATGCTTGGATGTTTTGTGATTTTAGTGAATGAAGCGCAGAATGGGTGTAGAAGAGGAAAAGGTGAACTCTTTCTGAGATGGCCAGGAAAGGCCTTGCAAAGACGTGACTGGTACGTGGTGGGCAAGGAGGGCAGAGAACATTCTCGCAGAGGGAAAAACCTGAGACACATGTCAGACGTGTGAACTTAGCTAGCAGGGTCAGATGAGTCAGGGTTTAGTGAGGCAGGAACACAGTGAAGAAGGTGGAGCTGTGAACACGAGGGGAGCAGATGGTGGAAAGCTACAGGCCGTGGACAAAGCCATTTGATATTTTAAACAAAAGGAGTAACTCATTTCACTGTGGCTGCTGGGCCTGTGTTTGATGGCTAATTCCCATCAAATGTTCGAAGTCCACTGGTCACTGATATAACAGAGTTGGTTTGTACTGCTCCTGCCCACCTAAAATAAGACAAAGTCACATACACGGGCTTATCTCAGAGTTGGAATTGATTCTAGTGAAATCTGGATCACGAATTCCAATACAGAGAGTTCTTTCAAGAAATAATGGTTTTATCAACCATATTACAAAGTAATCACCCTGGCTACTCAGCCTTATGTGAGGAGTCTGTAATTCACAAGTTAGATCCTATTATAACTTAATCTTCTCGGCTGTGTCATCCTTGCACATGGGAGAGACCTTAGAACTAATCCTCCTCAGCAAATTAGTGACAGGGCTGGGACTCGAACCCAGCAAGTTCCTGTGTCCTTTCCAGTACCACACTGCCTCTGCTACTGGAGTGTATACTGGCCAAACGTCTCAAGTCTCTTTTCACAAACATCTTATAGGTTTAAGAAGAGTTGCACCAAATTACCAGTGTTCCCGGGCTATTAATCACCTTCACCAATTCTAGACTCCTACAAGCTATGAAAGACCTAGCGCTCAGTGCGCTATCCTATAGAACCCCATCGGTGGTGGAGACAGGTGGTCCTAACCTCTCTGCATACCTGGATTGCCTGGAAACTCTTAAAAATTTCAACAACAGCCAGGCTCAGTGGCTCAGCCTGTAATCCCAGCATTTTGGGAAACCGAGGACAGTGGATTGCCTGAGCCCATGGGTTCGAGACCAGCCCGGGCAACTTGGCAAGACCTCAATAAAAAAAAATTAGCCAGGAGCAGTAGCACACACCTGTAGTTCTGGCTACTTGGAAGGCTGAGGAGGAGGGACCACTGGAGCTGAGGAGGAGGGACCGCTGGAGCCCAGCGGGGTGGCTGTGAGAGTGCCACCGCACACCAGCCTGGGCGACAGAATGAGACTCCAACTCAAAAAAAAAAAAAAATTCCAATGACTAATTCACAGCTCATATCAATTAAATCATGACCCCGCCCCCAGTCATTTCTAAACCTCCCCAGATGTTTCCAGTGCACAGCCAAGTATGAAAGCCAGTAGTTGAGGTGACACTTTCACTTGATTTAGGGGCTGAGGCCAGAGGGTTGGAAGGCGGTAGCTTTTCTTCTTGGCATTATTGATCACTCTGAGTTAGCTGCAGAGCCAGGAAGGCGTTTCAAGGGTGCCCTGGCATTCCTACCATTCCATGTTTCTCCTTCCTTTCACCCTTGGTGGGACTGCTACAGGGTGGAGCTGGGCCAGGAGGAACACGGGCAGGGGAGGAAGAGGGTGGGTTATAACAGGAGCTATGTGGGCACTGTCCCAGGTTGAAAGTCTTTCAGAAGCCCCAGTATCTTCCCTGAAATGCCAGCGAGATAGATAAGCCCAAAGGGGACGAATTATTCTTAAGGGAAGATGTATGCACAGTCTGTTCTGGTTATTCTGGCAGTTACGTTCCATAGTGTTCCCATGAACCTTGAATTAACAAATGCTTAATTACTGCTCCTAAGAGCAAAACAGGGTTAGGTTCCTGCAAGCCTCTGGTCACAACATTCCCATCAGCTCATCAATATAAAACAACTGCTTCAGGCGTGTTTCCATTTAAAGACACCTTATTCAGTATATATTGATTCGGTAACATCAAACAGCAGCTCTCGAGTTCATGCTTAAATGCAGCATATCCAACATGTATTTTCTCTGTAGGCACTCCACAGCTTCCTCGTGCTTAGGGACACCAGACAGACCTCTGCCTGGGGGCCATTTGGAGCAGCAGACTTGCCAACGGAAATCACAAAAATGTGGAAAATGTGTCCCTAAGTAGACTATGAAAAGGACCCTTATGTACAGTATGACAAAGGAAACATGAAGGCAGTGTCACCTTGTCCTGCCTCAGCTGGGAATGTGTGCATCGGATGGCACAGGTCTGTCACTGCTCTGTGCATGTACGCAGATGACCCTGAAAGTGCCGTTGAGTATTGATTTGTGACTGCAAATCAGTTTTAGTGAGTGCATGAATTCTGGAAAGTCAGACTTTGTGAATAATGAGGACCACCTATATTCATGTGTGAATTAAGCATCGCCACACGTAAAAAGCTGGCGATGCTTAATTTCCAACTTCCAATTTACAAAAATAATTTAGATTTTGTTAAAGAGAGAAAATAATAAGTAAGGATCTGTTAGAAACTTAAACTCTCAGTCTTGCACAGTTGTTTAGAAATCTGACTACAAGTACATTTTAGCTACAATTTCTAAGTTCCTCAGTATGTCCCTGAACATTAGTCCCTGCTTTTCAGAGAATTAACTCTCCTGTTTTAGAGAAAAGGTTTTTAATTAGTTTTCCTATTTTTTCAATTCCGCAATAATTACAGTTAACATCCTAACACTTTACATTTAAAGTTGCTTTTATGTAGATTATAAAATTAAACTCTATAATGTGATGTAAACACCTACCCCAATAGAAGTTACTGTGCCAACAGTATTAAAAGTGAATATGTTATGGCAAAGACCGCATTTATCCCCCTAAACGATTCCAAGAGAAATCTGGTAGATATACATAACCAGAAATAGATTATTTTAACACAGAAAATTTTATTTTGAGTTAGAGTCTCACTCTGTCACCCAGGTTTGAATGCAGAGGCACACTCACAGCCACCGCAGCCTTCACCTGCTGGGCTCAGGTGACCCTTCCACCTCAGCCTTCCAAGTAGCTGGGACCACAGGCACACAACACCACGCCCAACTAATTTTTTGATTTATTTTAAAGATGAGTCTCACCAAGTTCGCCAAGTTGGTCTCAAACCCCTCGGCTCAGGCAGTCCTCTCGCCTCCGGCCTCCCAAAGTGCTGGGATTACAGGCATGAGGCACTGTGCCTGGCTGGAAATTTTAAATGCTGTGATTTTTCCTTTATAGTTTAGTTTCACATGGGATGTAATGAACTCTGGATTATACATGAGAGGACTGTTGTAGTGACCTGGGAAGGTGAGTTAGCTGAGTTAGGTGAACTTGGTTTCAGGGCCGAGGAAAAAGAAAGTCAAGAACAAGCATACGGGTGTGTAAATGTGACTATATAATCATTGCAAAGCCACACGGGAAGGCCATTTGGCCAGGTCACTCTGTATTCCATATATCTGTCACCTTCCTTTGATAGGAACGAACCTGTCACCTTGATGTGACAGGGTTTGAAATCCACATGAGAGAACATGTCTTGTGCTGTTACATAATACACATTTCTTGCTCCCTACCCAGTCACTGATCTGTGTAGCAGTAGGAAGGACTTCAGTCTGAAGGACTTCAATCTGAAGCCATCTGTCCTCCACAATGAATTTCTTTGGCCTGTTTACATTTAATCTAATGCCTGGTCTGCAGGCCAGCCATTGTGTTTGATGATTAATTCCCATCAAATGTTCGAGGTCCACTGGTCACTGATATAACAGAGTTGGTTTGTACTGCTCCTGCCCACCTAAAATAAGACAAAGTCACATACACAGGCTTATCTCAGAGTTGGAATTGATTCTGGTGAAATCTGGATCATGAATTCCACTACAGAGAGTTCTTTCCAGAAATAATGGTTTTATCAACCATATTACAAAGTAATCACCCTGGCTACTCAGCCTTATGTGAGGAGTCTAATTCACAAGTTAGATCCTATTATAACTTAATCATCTCGGCTGTGTCATCCTTGCACATGGGAGAGACCTTAGAACTAATCCTCCTCGGCAAATTAGTGAGAGGGCTGGGACTCGAACCCAGCAAGTTCCTGTGTCCTTCCAGCACCACACTGCCTCTGCTGCTGGAGTGTATACTGGCCAAATGTCTCAACTCTCTTTTCGCAAATATCTTACAGCTTTAAGAAGAGTCACACCAAATTACCTGGGCTCTCACCTGGCCAAATTTTGGAGGGGGATACAGTATGAAAAAACAGCACATGCCCCCCACCCTCACACAGCTATGGCCTTGTGGTGGAAGTGTCCCTCCAAGGTGCCATGAAGCACTTCTAAGGATAGGAGTCCAGCCACGAAGCCCGGAAATGCCAAGCGCTCTTGTGCCCATGTGGTTCACAGACTTCCAGCCTGCAGATCTGGGGAAATCCTACCCAAAGCAGACGATGGCCCATCTGATAGCCCTGAGACGGGCCGATGACTCCAGGTGAGCTGGAGAGGAAGTCGTCGGTGGCCTACTTTCAAGGGCACCCAGGGGAGGAAAGCATCAGGCAGAAAAGGGCTGTGCTCAGAGCCCTGGGGCGCCAAGGGGTACAGATCTAGCCACAGTCTCAAAGGCTAGGCCCTGTCTAGCTCCCCAGCACGCCTCACAGGGGCACCCCAGGACGCTTACCGCTGATGGGGTGGGTGCAGCCAGCACACTTCTTGGCATACAGGTCGCAGAAGCAGTCCAGGCAGTAGGCAAAGTCGTCGCGGGCCGTGAAGCGCTGCCCGGACAGCTGCTTCCTGCAGGCGGTGCACACGAAGCACTCCTTGTGCCAGGGCTGCTCCCGGTACGTGACGCCTCCCGTGGTGATGGGCTGCAGGTGGCGAGAGGGAGAGTGAACGTGGGCTGTGCTGGGCAGACGCCCCAGTCCCAGTGACCGCCAGCAGGCGACGCAAGATCCTCGGCCAGAGAATGTCCAGCTTGCTCAAGTCCCTAAGAAACGGCTTTACTCATTTCAGAGTCGCCCATTACACCCCTCCACCCATCTCCACTCCAGTGTCACAGCCCCCACTTTCCCGTTAGTGAAACTGGTCCTTGGAGGATGCCCTCGGCCCTTCCCAGGGATGCTGGGGACCCAAGGGGTAGGTGTCGAGGGGACAGCCCCCATCCCTGAGCTGGGAGGCAGCACAGCAGAGGGGCTGCCGTCAGAGACCACATCAAGGAACGGTCTGAATTCTAACCCTGCGCCTGGGCGTGGAGGGGGTTCATCTCTTCCACTCGCGGTGGAAGAAGGATGAGGCGTGAAAGACACCCAGGACTGGTACTCGCCAACGCTGTAGGAACGGACGGGTGTCTTGGAAGCTTTGGGGAAAATCTCATTCTTAGAACTCTTGTGAAAAGCTGCAAAGCCCCAGGTGGTGAAACTGGCCACCAGCACCTCAGTCTTAGCTAGTTTTTTGCTGCTGCTGTTTTTTGAGTCGGAGTCTCACTCCATCGCCCAGGCTGAAGCACGGTGGCACACTCATGGCCACCCCAGCATTGACCTGCTGGGCTCCGGCAATCCTTTCACCTCAGCCTTCCGCGGAGCCGAAATTACCGGCACGTGCTACCACGCCTGGCTGATTTTTGATTTATTGTAGAGACGAGGTCTCGCCAAGTTGCCCGGGTTGGTCTCGAACCTGTGGGCTCAGACAGTCCACTCGCCTCGGCCTCCCCAAGTGCTGGGATGACAGGCTGAGCCACCAAGCCTGGCCTGGTTTTTTCCCAAATGTTGCTTCTGATAGTCACGTAAAAAGTAGACAACTGCTGGAGCTGAGGAAGCTACCAGAGGAAGGCTGGTGGGCCTCGGCCTACAAACGGCAGCCACGGAAGACAGAGGGGAAGTGGGCCACAGCCACTTTGCTCTGCTTTTTATTTTCTGAACGCTGCGATACCATCCGGTCACTTCCTCGGTCCTTGCATAAAGCTTGTGAAGTCAGCAAGCTGTTACTTCCATTTTATGGATGAGTCAACTGGGGCCAGAGAAACGGACTGACCCCCTTCTATATTCTTTTCATTAAACCATAATCATCTTCCTATAAATCTCCCCCCAACAGAACTTATGCGAAACACATCGGGTTGTGACATGTCCATGCAGACCCAGGAGCCTGTCGGGGGGAGGGGTCTCCTCTGCCTGGAATGCTCTGTCCTCCCTGAGCCTGGAATGCTCGGCCCATCCCCCCCGGCTTCCCACCCTGCATCACCTAGCCAGGGTTTGTCTCCACATACGTGTGATTTTCTCGGGGGAATCCTTTCCTCAACCACACCCTGGTCCCAACTCCTCAGGCTGGGCGGGTCCTCCCGTTCCACACTCTGCCGACACTCTGTTCTCCTCTGTGGCACCCAACGTGCACTGGACTGTTCTGACCCTGGGGTGTGTTTTCGCCGAGACCACGGCCAAGTGTGTGTGTCCGCGTCTTAGGGCCCAGGGCATGCTGTGAGGAATAGGTGTTTCTGGCGTCGATGTAATGACCAGGCACACACGGGCGGGCAACCGCAGGGAACACACAGGCAGGAAAGACGAGGGGGAAGAAAGGCAGTGCACACGGACTTCTTGATGAGAAAAGCAAAGCAGCCCAAATTTTACCTGCGCAACGTCCATTTGTAAACCTAATTCCTGAGTTGTATCTACATCTTTAAAATAAAAATATTTTAGCTGGGCTTGGTGGCTCAGTCTGTAATCCCAGCGCTTTGGGAGGCCGAGGTGAGTGGACTGCCTGAGCCCATGGGTTGGAGACCCACCCAGGCAACTTGCTGAGACCTCAGCTCTACAATAAATCAAAAATCAGCTGGGCATGGTAGCATGCACCTGTCGTGCCAACTACTCGGAAGGCTGAGGTGGAAGGATCGCCAGAGCCCAGCAGGTCGAGGCTGCGGTGGCTGGGAGAGGCCACTGCACTCCAGTCTGGGCGACAGAGTGAGACGTCAACTCAAAAAAAAAAAATTTTTTTTAAAGAAAAGGAGGGGAACCGAGAAGAGGCTTCTTAATGTAAAGACAGGAGATGCCGGGCTCGGTGGCTCAGCCTGTAATCCCGCGCCTTGGGAGGCTGAGGTGAGTGGACTGTCTGAACCCGCGGGTTCAAGACCCGTCTGGGCAATTTGGCGAGACCTCATCTCTACAATAAATCGAAAAACCAGCCGGGCATGGTGGCGCGTGCCTGTAATTCCAGCTACTTGGAAGGCTGAGGCGGAAGGATCGCCGGAGCCCAGCAGGCAGAGGCTGTGGTGGCCAGGAGCGGCCACTGCACTCCAGTCTGGGTGACAGAGTGACTCCAACTCAAAAAAAAAAAAAAAAAAAAAGACAGGAGAGAGGGCTCACTCTAAGGATGACGAAAAACAAGAGAGAAAACAGAAGCAGAATAAAATAACAGCAAGGAAAAACGGAAACAAAACAGAAACAAGGCAGAAAGGCCAAATGCCAATGAACTTCCGGTCTGGCACTCTGCAAGGTGTGGAGAGAAAGGGGGGAGGCTGGGTGCTGAGGTCTAACCCAGATTCCAGGCACAGCGGCAGCATCAGGGAGGCTCGGCCCAGCACCCCAGGTGAGGGCGGGGCCTTCAGGGAGAAAAGAGGAAGCCAGGGAGCAGAGTCAGCAGAAGGGTGGGAGCCACAGAGTCGGCCTGTGTCCCCCCGTGTCCCACACCGGGTGCTGCCAGGGCCCAGGGAACAGGGGGGTCAACTCCGCAGGTGAGATCGTCCTAATGGTGTGGGGACGATGGGAACTTCACCCCCAACAGGATTTCGTGTGCAAGAGAGGGCACAGCAGGAACCTCAGCCATGCTCCCAAGGGCACAGATCTCAAGGGACAGAGTCGATAGGACAGAAATGGCTTCCCACAGCGATGCGGGTCCTTTTCTTGACCCCAACGGAGCCATGGCAGATGCAGCACATAATAAAGTAGGTGAGTTTAATAAATAAAATCAGCCGGGTATGGTAGCGCGTGCCTGTAGCTCCGGCTACTCGGAAGGCTGAGCGGAAGGATCGCCGGAGCCCAGCGGGTCGAGGCTGCAGTGGCCGGGAGCGGCCGCTGCACTCCAGTCTGGGCGACAGAGTGAGACTCCGACTCAGAAAAAATAAAAATAAAAATAAAAATAAATAAATGATCTGCCCCAATGGGGGGGGGCAACACTTTTCTCCTCGCCTCTCTCACACCCCCGCTTTCCTCTTCTTCCTCCCCTTTTCTCTCTCCCTCAAGCTCAGCAGTTGGTTTCTTGTTGGTTCACACAGAGAGCAGCTTAAAAAGACAGCTCTGGGACAGTGAGTTCCTCCTTAGCTCTAACAGCAAATCATCAGCATGAGAAAAGACGCAGCAGTGGAATTTGGATCCCAGAGCAAAACCGGGCTCATGTCTTCGAGAAAGGACCAGATCCTAGACCCCATGGACCCGTGCCCGGAACGTACAGGCACAGCTCTCCTGCCAGCCAAGTGCCACCGGTGTCCTCCTGCCTCCTAGAAAGGGAGAACCCACCGCCGGGGGCCAGGGAGGCAAACCCTGGGGAAGGGCTGAGGGAAAATCCCAGATACCTTCTTGCACTGCACACACTGGAGGGCGTGCTGCTTCTCGTAGCAGGGCACACAGAAATTCTGGCTGTCTTTCGGGATGAAGCTCTTGGTGCCGATGGGCTGCTGGCAGCGGTGGCAGATGAAGCAGGTCTCGTGCCAGCTGCTGCCCTTGTACTCCATCTTGCGAGTGCCTGTCGTGGGGTCAGGAAGAGAATAGTGGCGTGACGTCAGCCTGGCCTGAGTCTCATAGGTCACTCGGGTCAGGAAGGCTCACCTCTAAAGGGGGGACAGGTTCCTGTTTTGCGGAGGGCAGGGACTTTGAATTTTGGTTCACTGCCGTACACCCAACTCCTAGCGAGATACGTGTACACGGTAGGTACTGAATATTTGTTAAATGAAAAAAAAGTCAAATCTCTCTCCATACTGCAAAACAGAGAAAGAAATCTGGCCTCGATCAGATCCTCAAGGAGAATTCTGGAATATAGGGGTTACATCCTTCTGCTGCACACCTGCCAGTGAACACCCCCACTGGCTTAGTGTCGGACGTGGCTGGGGTGTGACTGAGCCTGGGGCCTTGAGCCTGACACAGAGAGTAGCCTGGACCAAACTCACTCCACGCGGCTGCTGTGTGACGCCAGCTGCGACGTGTCCCCGTGGCAGTATGCACCGTGCTGGGTGCGGCAATCCAAGTCCGTGTGTATTACTTGTGCATTCCGTTTAGTAGTTCTCTCACCTTGTGCCATTCCATTTTCTTTCGAATAACTATTATCGTTTGACATGTTGCTATCATTTCTCCAAGAAAATCAAGGTCCTGGAGAACTGACAGGCTTGACTCACCCCTGCCACCACCAAGCTCGACTCACAGCAAAGGCTCTGCTGACTTTTCCATACTTTACAAAGCAAAGTGTACTTATAGAAAGAGGTGATTCAGGCCAGGCTCGGTGGCTCAGCCTGTGATCCCGCGCTTTGGGAGGCCGAGGTGAGTGGATTGCCTGAGCCCGCAGGTTCGAGACCCGCCTGGGCAACTTGGTGAGATCCCCACCTCTACATAAATCAAAAAATTAGCCAGGTGTGGTAGCGCCCGCCTGTATTTCCAGCGACTCGGAAGGCTGAGGCAGAAGGATCGCCGGAGCCCAGCAGGTCGTTGGCTGCAGTGGCCAGAAGCAGCCACTGCACTCCAGTCTGGGCGACAGAGTGAGACTCCATCTCAAAAAAAAAAAAAACCCAAAGTGGAGATGTTTGCAGACATCCTTTGTGTAAAGCAGAAGTGAAGGAAGATTTGGGAGAAACGGGCATAATGGAAGAAGAAAACGGAAAAGTGTTCCCAATGCAGGGGCCAGCCTGGGGGTCAAATGGCTCCGTTTTTTTCAATGAAGTTTTAGTGGACTTCATTCGTGCCCACTTACTAACTTCTAGTGTCTGTGGCTGCTTTCAAGTTCCCACAACAGAGTAGCTTTAGAGTGGTAGGAATTGAGGAGTTGTGACAGAGACTATAGGACTCACAAAGCCCAAAAAATTTATCTGGTTCTGGATGGAAAATTTTGCCAACTCCTGGGGCACATACATCCAACTTCAACTTGGAGTCAGGGAATGAGGGGGAATCAGGCTGAAGCTGCCCAGGCCCGGTGGCAGCTGTTGAGACAACACAGATGTGTACTGGAGTCTATAAACTAGGCCTCGGCTCCAAGTCCCAAAACAATATGGTCTGAAGAACACAGTTAGCTTTATAGCTTCGCTGGCTGGAAGGCTGCTCAGGCAATGTCTGTGTCTTGAGTAATTAGGAATGTGCTGGGAATCATCACATGATTATTTTACTAGATGTCGCTTTTGGGGGCCGGCTCTCAGCTTCCTGTAATTCTAAGACCTGACTTTTGAGCCCCACCTTCCACAGATTATATTCTTACTTTATGGTTTTTTGTTTGTTTTTTGAGTCAGGGTCTCACTCTGTTGTCCAGCCTGAGTGCAGGGGCATGATCATGGTTCATTGCAGCCTCAACCTCCTGGGCTCAGGCGATCCTTCAGCCTCAGCCTTTCAAGTAGCATGGGCACACCACACTCGGCTAATTCATTCATTCATTCATTCATTCTGGTTTTGGGGGGGTGGTTTTGGTAGAGATGAGGTCTTACTATGTTGCCTAGGCTGGTCTCAAACTCTCCTGGGCTCAAGTGGAATCCTCTCGCCTTGGCCTCCCAAAGTGCTGAGATTACAGGCATGAGCCACTATGCCCAGCCTTCCACAGATTACAAATATGCAGGATGGCCGGGCTCAGTGGCTCAGCCTGTAATCCGAGCACTTTGGGAGGCCAAGGGCGAGTGGATTGCCTGAGCCCACGGATTCGAGACCAGCCTGGGCACCTTGGTGAGACTGAGTCTCTACAATAAAAAAAAAAAAATTGCCAGGCGTGGTAGTGCATGCCTGTAGTTCCGGCTACTCAGAAGGCTGAGGTGGAAGGATTGCTGGAGCTCAGCAGGTCGACACTGGAGTGGCCATGAGTATGCCTCGACACTCCATCCTGGGCAACAGAGTGAGACTCCAAAAAAAAAAAAAAAAATGCAGGATGTAGGGGAGAGTCCGTGAGAGAGAATGTGGGGTGGTGACACATAGTGTCCTTCCAATCTAAAGTATACTCTTTATGAAATTCAATTATGGAGGGATGAATCCTAAAACAATTACATTAAGCAGTTGACATTGAGGAAAAATGGTGGAAGAACTCTGATGTGCACTTTAGAATGATCTTCTGAGCTTCCAGGGATTTCTTTCCCTTGTATTCCTTTGTCACTTGTTCTTTGAATCCCTGATCTAATTTACCCCAATTTAGCAGGCCAAAAGCCAAAGGATTTTGCCATGAACATGGAGCAACCATGACTCTCGCTGAAGACCGACCCCAAGAAACACTAGGCAGGGCCCTGAACAAGTCTTACAGCAACCCCAGTGGTCGGGAAACTGCACGTGCAGGGAATGCACGGGGCACTCACGGAGGGCACATGCACATCTGGGGCAGGAGACATCGCCAGCAGATGGCAGGAGAGTTCCTTCTAATTGAATCTGCTCTCCAGTCTTCAGCAGACGGAGGGGCACCGCTTCAGGAGGGACTAGGTTAGTGACAGTCCCGTGAGGCTGCTCAGAGGGGGTGGTGCACCTGCGAGCTACCTGGCCACACCTCTGCACAACGAGAACTGGTGACCCCTGCCCGAGGGCTCCTGATGGCATCCCAGATTTCCGACCCTCATCAGAAAATTGACTTGGGTGGGGTAAGGAGCTGGCGGATGGGATTTGCCCTTGAGAACTGCCTCTTGGCTTATAAAATAAATTCACATCAAAAGCTACACTGATGCTGTCTGTCACTGCTATTCTTCTTGAAGTGGTTGTTGCACTTTAAAGACAATCAAACCCAAGCAAGGAGGCAAGTGCTTTGATCTAGTGATTTTTTTTTTTTTTTGCACGCGCCACGATTTTTCTAGACACTCTGCGTGTGGTGCCCAGTCCATTCCTTCTGGCAGAAGCCTCTATAAAATGAGAATAAAGCCATTCATCCAACTCAAGTGACCCTGTGAAGATTAAACTGGACTCTGTAAAGCAGCAGGTGCCCTGCACGCAATATCCACTTCGTGGCAGTAACTCTGGCTCTGTTATTACTACATAGCATTTTCTACCCCAGAGTCTGAAATCAAGAATTTTGCACCCCAGCTTCCATTCTTTCTTTCTTTCCTTTTTTTTTTAGTTGGAGTGTCACTCTTGTCGCCCAGGCTGAAGTGCAGTGGTACGCTCTCGGCCACCGCACCCCGGCCTGCTGGGTTTAGGTGATCCTTCTGCCTCAGTCTTCCAAGTAGCTAGAACTACAGACACACACAACCACGCCTAGCTAGTTTTTTTGTGTGATTTGTTGTAGAGACGAGGTCTCACCAAGTTGCCCAGGCTGGTCTCAAACCCCCAGGCTCAGGGGATACACTAGCCTCAGCCTCCCAAAGTGCTGGGATTACAGGCTAAGCCACGGAGCCCGGCCTGTCTTTTTTTATTTTTTATTTTTTGAGTCGGAGTCTCACTCTGTCACCCTGGCTGTAGTGCAGCAGTATGGTCACAACCACCGCACCTCGACCTGCTGGGTTTAGGTGATCCTTCTACCTCAGCCTTCCAAGTAGCTGGAACTACAGGTGCACACCACCACACCCATCTAGTTGTTGTGATTTATTGTAGATACGAGGTCTCACCAAGTTGCCCAGGCTGGTCTCAAACCTCCCAATCCTCTCATCTTGGCCTCCCAAAGTGCTGGGATGACAGGCAGTGCCACTGCACCTGGCCCCCTTATTTCTTAATAGAAGAGCACGCAGGTGGGTTAATTCTCAAACATTCAGCAGTTTACCTCCGCAAAGCTGAAGTTTTGGGTTTTTACTTATTTGATCATTTGTTTCCCCTCTTTCAGATAAACACCACAAGAAATGGAAGGTGCGATGGTTAATTTTGTGTGTCAAGTTGGCTAGGCTAACACTATGGGATCCAGGTGCTTGGACAAAAACCAGTCTAGATGTTGCTGTGAAGATGCCTTCTAGATGTGATTGGCATCTGCAATCAGTAGACTCTGAGTGAAGCAGACACCCACCACTACCGGGTGGGCCTCGTCTAAGCAGTCGAAGACAAAGATTCCCACAAGGGGAAGGGATGTGTCTCAAGAGGACAGCAACAGAGAGCCTGTAGCCTGCTGCTCTGTGAATTCAGGCACCACAACTTGGAGGCACAGCATCAATTCCGACCTGAGCTTCCAGCCCGCTGGTCTGTCCTGAAGATTCCAGACTCACAGTCACATAAGCCAGTCCCTTAAAATAAATAAATCTCCATACACTCACACACATGAACGCCACACCCACCCTATCTGTGCGTGTATGTATCTCCTGTTGCTTCAGTTTCTCCGGAGAACCTGCCTGACACAGGTCAAGACAGGTGGAAAACTCAACGATCCGTGGAAATACGTGTATTTTATTTAGCATGATTGGTGCTAAGGGTTAGTTTTGAACAGCTCCTGGAGTCCCCAGTGGAAGCTTCCTTGGGCTCTTGTCCAGAAAAACCATTTCATTTGTTTTTCAAGTAATGTCGTGGTTCCTTTTGTTGTGGGACTGTTATACCTGCTCACGACTCTCTGTGGGGAGGACTACAGGCCACCCTGGCCCAATGCAGCTGCAGTTTCCCTTCCCACTGTCACATGGCCCTGGGGTCGAGGCTCCACCATCCGTGGCACCCACACGACCTTGCGAGAGGCCTAGGCCTGGAGCCTGGACTTCAGAAGGGCCCCTCTGAAGTCACCACGTAGCCCTTCCTCTGATTCTTTTCCCTCCCAGCTGCCTTCCTGTCCAGCAGCCCAGAAGGCTGTGGCTGTTTCAGCCCGGGCACTTCTGTTCCTTGACATAGTAAGTTGTGGTTGTTTTTAAGTTGTATGAACCAGAGAAACGTAGTAGCGATAAGAAGCCACCTTATGGAAGGCCAAATTATCCCCTTGCCTTTTAAAAACTTGTCACTGCTTATCCTACATGAAATCTTTCTAAAGTATTACCCATATGTCAGTCTCTCGCTCAAAACTCTTCACTGGCAAAAACAAAGCAAACCAAATATAAAATCAGAAACTGGAGCTCAGCAGGGCTTTCCACTAAGGAGTTCATATGACACTGATTCTTGAGCCTTCATTCCCTCACAGGTCAATGCGATTCCAGCTGCCGTATGACATGGGATTCTTCCGAAGACGAACTTGGTTTTAAAATACCAACATGGCCGGGCTTGGTGGCTCAGCCTGTAATCCCGCGCCTTTGGGAGGCTGAGGTGAGTGGATTGCCTGAGCCCGCGGGTTCGAGACCCGCCTGGGTAGGCGAGACCTCATCTCTACAATAAATCAAAAAAAAATTAGCTGAGCGTGGTAGCACATGCCTGTAGTTCCAACTACTTGGAAGGCTGAGGTAGAAGGATTGCCGGAGCCCAGCAGGCGGTGAGTGTGCCACTGCTTTCCAGTCTGAGCGACAGAGTGAGACTCCAACTCAAAAAAATAAAAACAAAAACTCCTGAAATTCAGATTTACCTGAGTACTCTGGGTTTCCAGTTGCTAAATGTGGCAGGCAGCTCTACCCTCCAGCCACCCTTCTGATGGCCCTGCAAGGACATTGCTGGTCTTACACACCCTCTGCTCTGCCTTTTCTCTGCTGCTGGGTCAAAGTCTTAGGCTCTTCTCTGAGGCACTCTTCCTCATCCTCATGTCTAGATGAGTCTAACAAGATTTGCTTTTTAAATCGTGTTTAAAAATTCCATGTCTTTTTGTTCACTGTTTCTGCAAAGTAAACAATTCTTCTCTCCTACATAAAAGCAAAACAAACAAGCCTCCCCCCCCCAAAAAAAAAAACCCCACAAGGGACACAGTCCGATCCTCTCATCATCAACAAGCAAGTCACTTATTCCTATCCTTAGTATTTGACCCAGCTGCCATTGGACCCTTTTCTTGTGTCTGTCTAGAACTTCAAGTCTACAAGGGCAGAGGACCAGGCGCACAAGGGCACCACGCACACTCGCCGAAATAACCACACGAATCCAGATTCAGCAGCTGGAAGAGACGAGAAGGCATCTATCGGGGAACAGTGGGGCTGAAGAGGGGACGTGTGTTCAGAGGGGACAACCCCCAATCACTATGACGATTCGGCTGCAGAACCCTGCCTCAGCCCCACAGACAAAGAGTCCCCTCCTCCCAGGGATAGAACCCATCACACCCCTGCTTCGTGAGGGCCCTAAAAATGGGGGAGTCCACACGAGGAGCTGTCACTGCGGACAATGGGCCCAAGAAAAATCTCACCCCAGGGCCAAGGCTAAACGGGCATGAGAAGGGGGCACGTCCTGACCTGGCATGATGGTCTTCTTACATTCCTGGCACTTGGACGAATACTCGTTGGAATAGCAGTCTGTGCACAGCAGCTGTTCCTCCTTGGCAGCGAAAGGCTTGTCCACCAGCGAGCTCCTGCACTGCGAGCAGTGGAAACAGGCCTCGTGCCAGTGCCGGTCCTTGTAGGACAAATCCTGCGGGGCCAGAGCACACGAGACAGTCAGAGGTAGGACAGGAGGGCGCAGACCCACAGGGCAGGGGCCTGGTGGCTGCAAATTCAGAAGGCAAATGGGGAGGAAAAGGGGACAGAAGCCTGAGGACATTCAGGTACTAGGACCACAATGGCCAAAGTCAGCGGGCTGGGCTGCTTTTCTCTTGCTGGGTTTTAGAACAAAGGTTAGATGTGCATGTGTGGGGGTGTGTGTGTACGAGAGAGAGAGATCTGAAGAACAAACGGATTTCCCTTAGGTATTGCCTGTGGGAAAGAGAAACAAAAAAACGTTTAAACTTAGTGATGCAGGGCTGAGTGCGGTGGCTCATGCCTATAATCCCAGCACTTTGGGAGGCCCATGTGAGAGGACTGCCTGAGCCCATGGGTTCAAGAATAGCTTGGGCAACTTGGTGAGATCTCATCTCTACAATAAGTCAAAAAATGAGCAAAAAAAACCAGCTGGGTGTGGTGGCGCATGCCTGTAGTTCTAGTTATTCGGAAGGCTGAGGTAGAAGGATCACCTGAACCCAGCAGGTCAAGGCTGCAGTGGCTGTGACCTTGCCATTGCATTCCTGCCCAGACAACAGAGAGAGACCCCAACTTGGAAAAAAAGACAGCCAAAACTGGAAGAAACAGTTCTCTTGCGGAAATATTGTGTGTGTGTTTTCCCTTAAACCAAACTAAAGTTATTTGATTTGGTAATCTCTTTGCACATTCTGTTTCAGCTCAAAGATATTGTTTTGTTTTTGGAGTCGAGGTCTCACTCTATTGTCCAGGCTGGAGTGCAGTGCCACAATCACAGCTCACCACAGCCTTCACATCCTAGACTCAGAATCCTCCTGCCTCAGCCTCCCAAGCAGCTGGGACTACAGGCATGTGCCACGACACCCGGCTAAATGTTTGATGTTTTTGGTAGAGAAAAGGTCTTGCTATGTTGCCCAGGCTGGTAAAGGACTTTTGAAAAATGTGACGGTTGCGGCACTCCGAAGACAGGCACACCATCCGTGACGTCACCAGGACGTGGAGACTCTCTGCTGGTCCCTCTCGGGCCATCACTGTGGAAAGTCTGCTTCCTGAGCCACCTGGGAGTAGGAGTATTGCTGATGCAAGAGACAGGGAATGCAGGTAAGAAGTACACAGGGTGTTGTTCTCACGCAGGACTGAGGGCCCAGCTTCCGTGAGGCTGGTCTGAGCCCAGCACCCCCAGGCATCAGTGGGTGCTCTGAGGTAGACACTGCTTCTCGGGAGGCCAGGTGACTGCCTGCCGAAATGCCTAGGCCCTCCCCACCCCTGTGAACCCAAACTGGAAGGGTATGCACTGAGGAGACATGGGGGCCAGAGGGCTAACCTGTCTTTTGCATTTTTAGCTTCAAGTATTTTCAGAAATGTGGGGGGAAAGCACCTGTGCTATAGTGGTTATTTTGACACACGAAACAGAGTACAAACTGCTTTGGGTTCATGTCTATATACACGAACTTCTTATCAGCCACAAAGCCCACAGTCTGCACATGCATGCTATTATCACTCAGAATTAGGCATGGTCTCCATTCTCTCCATCACGCCTCCAATCTTCCAGAAACCTGGAATGCCAGTGAAAATTATTACCATGTTTGTGAGTTCCAACCATGGTGCAGCCCTGCAAGCTCAAAGAAATTCAGTAACCTGCCCACAGTCCCTTAGCTGTCCCATGGTCCAGCCAGGCTTTAAGCTCAAGTCCTTCTGTTGTAAAAGTTATTTCCATTGGGCCCTACCAGGTGAAATCCTGGTCGGGTCTGTGTTGCAATTTGCTTTAAACAAGGTAGCCTTAGCCGGGCTCAGTGGCTCAGCCTATAATCCTGCGCCTTGGGAGGCTGAGGTGCGTGGATTGCCTGAGCCTGTGGGTTCGAGACCCGCTTGGGCAACTTGGTGAGACCTCATCTCTACAATAAATAAAAAAAATTAGCCGGGTGTGGTAGCGCGCGCCTGAGTTCCAGCTACTTGGAAAGCTGAGCCGGAAGGATCACCAGAGCACAGCAGGGTGAGGCTGCGGTGGCTGGGAGCGGCCATCGCCCTCCAGTCTGGGCGACAGTGAGACTCCAACTCAAAAAACAACAACAACAAAAAAAAAACAAAAAAAAACCAAGGTAGTCTTGAGATCCATTGGCATTTCCAAAGTGCCAAACCAAAATTAAAACATCAACCTGTGTCTACCCAGCTTTACCTTGGAAAGGCTATTTTTCTACAGCTGTGTTTCTTTGTATTCCTAGCTCTGACTCAAAACCGTCATCCACTTGTTAATGAGGCAGAATTGTGTGCATCCACTGAAAAAATCCAGAAACAACCCAAGTCTCACAACTTTCAATAATGTATTTTGTACCCAAATGAATACAACTCGGCATTGTCTTTGTTTAGACTTTAAATAAAGGAATTTGGAAGAACTATTAAAGCCCTAGCCATCCAGAACAGTAATCTGCCTAATTTAAGAAGAGCTGGAGTTTTAAATCATGCTATCATTGTATATAATGCTGACTGTGGAATAACTGCATTAAAAATGAATTTTGTAGCCGGGCTCGGTGGCTCACCTGTAATCCCGCGCCTTTGGGAGGCTGAGGTGAGTGGATTGCCTGAGCCCACGGGTTCGAGACCCACCTGGGCAACTTGGTGAGACCTCATCTCTACAATAAATCAAAAAAACTAGCCGGGCGTGGCAGCACGCACCTGTAGTTCCAGCTACTTGAAAGGCTGGGGCAGAAGGATCGCCGGAGCCCAGCAGGTCAAGGCTGCGGTGGCCGGGAGCGGCCACTGCACTCCAGTCTGAGCGATGGAGTGAGACTTAACTAAAAAAAAAATAAAAAATGAATTTTGTATGGGAAACATTAAGTGCAAAATATTAGACATAGAATTACCATATAATGTAGCAGTTCTACTTTTGGGTATATAAATAGTGGAATAAAAAATCAAAACCCGACTGGGAGTGGTGGCTCAGCCTGTAATCCCATTACTTTGGGAGGTCGAGGTGAGAGGATTGCCTGAGCCCAAGGGTTCAAGACCAGCCTGGGCTGCTTGGCGAGACTTCCTCTCTACAATAAATCAAAAAATTAGCCAGGGTGTGGTGGCACGCACCCTGTAGTTCCAACTACTTGGAAGGCTGAGGTGGAAGGATTGCCTGAACCCAGCAAGTCGAGGCTACAGTGGCTGTGAGTGTGCCACCGCACTCCAGCCTGAGCGACAGAGGGAGACTCTGACTCAAAAAAAAAAAAAGTCATTTTCAGATCACTGCTAATAATGAAAGCAGCTGCTTCTAAGCGTCTATGTGCTGACACTCCATTTCCTTATGAAGACGGTAACATCGGTTCAAATTTCTGCCACCTTAAAGCTCCATGCTGAGAACTACCACCACTTTTGCTTCCTGCGTTTCTTTTTCTTAATTCTTCATACCTATTTTGAGCCATAGAATCACTCTATGAAAGGTTTTATTCCTGTCTTGTTGATGAGCAAATTTAACATAACCATGCCCAAAGCTATGTTTTCTCCAACATTCCCTGCGCTCACACCTTCAATGATCCAAAGAACCAGACCGTGTTTTCTATCTGGCACACAGGCCCCTTTGCAAGCCCGACCTTCTGCTCCGGTCCCCTTTCCATGCCCGCACCTACACTGTCCCTTGCCCTGGAATGCTCTTTCCCGCCTTTCCAACAGGAAAATCCTCTCACTGGAAGGCACAGCTCAATCTCACCTGCCCCGCGATGCTGGCTAAGAGGAAAGTCAAGCCATCCCAAGAATGGCCAGCGTCGTATATCACTTCCAAAGACCTCTTTGGAAGCCCGTTATCCCGTGATGCCATCGGGCTTCTCCGTAATGAATTTTCTCTTGTGGACTGGCAGTGCATGTTCTCCTTGGAAGCCTGAGTTAAGTTAATAAATCCACGCTTCTGCCATCATTCAGGCTTGCTTATTTATGAAAGTCCACAGTGAGCAGAAAGTGAGCACAGACGCTATGGTAAGACCAAGGCAACTCAACGCTGCCAGCTTGGATTCTTTTTTAAGAGCTTTTGGCCAACATGACAGGCTCCTCTGAGTCTCAGTGGGAGGCAAGATTTAGCCACACAATCCCCCTGGAGTTCAGGCAGACTGGAAAACAGCACCAACAGGACAAGGAACTAGGCGATTATGGGTCAGGCCTGTGTGCTGAGCCCGCACCTCAAATCACGCTTTCAACGTTGATCTGTGAAGACCTGGGAATGAGGGACCCTTCTCGAACAGAAAGCTCCCTATTTTTCATGTTAGTTATTAGCATGGTACTGGTCTTGTCCAGCTTCATTGTGTTGTTTACTGAGTTTTCTGTTGTAAGCAGCAAAAGTGAGATCAACAGAGACATTTAAACACGGATAAGCACAAGTTAACAAAGAGATTCCTTGGCTGTCTTTTTCCAGAACTCTAAGATAGAAATATCCTGGTTTTAAAGTACTCTAGAAAGGGATTAGAAAAAAAAAGAAATATATTTTATACTTCCCAGAAAAAAAAATACTAATCTCGTGCTCACAGCAATGTCATAAATTGCAGTAAAATGTTGATAAACATGTAAGATTAGGCCTACACACTTCCTTTCAGATTTTACATTTTTTCCATCTCAGAAACATTCCTAACATGGGCTGTGCTTATTCCTGGACTCCAAATGTACCTTTGTTGAGACTTTAACTGAGTCTCGGAGGCAGGCGGCCCGGACGGACCCAGGACCCCTCAGCCAACGGACGGCTCTGGGCTCTAGGGGTGTCCAGACTGAGGTAGCTGGCTCTCACCCTTCCTTCCTCCTAGGCCAGCATCCCACCTGGGCAGGGAGAAGCTGGGCTGCTGACTTCCAAACCAGCTCTCCCTCAAATCCACACGATCTAAGCTTGTGTGCGGATTCTCAAGTCTTCTGTGCTCAGCATTTGGAAAGGATGTTCTGTGCTTCGCTACCATCAGGTGATCATGTTTTTGTGTATTCTTTCAAATCCTTAAACAT